ATATGAAATAAAAGACAGAATTGGCAGATTGGGTTAAAAGCATGACCCAACTATATGCTATCTATAAGAAACTCACTTAAAACATAACTACATAGCTGGGTTGAAAGTAAAAGCGTAAAAAAAGATATACCATGCAAATATTAATTGAAAGAAATTTATATGAGATAAAGTAGACTTCAGATCAAAGAAAATTACCAGGTACAGAGAGGGACATTACACAACCATAAAAGAGCCAATCCACCAAGAAGACATAGAAATGCTCAGTGTGTATGTACCCAACAACAGAACTATAAACACATGAAACAGAAACTTATAATATTGAAAAGAGAAATAGGTAAAGCTACATTTATAGTTGGAGACCTGAACACCCCTTTCTCAACGATGGATGGACCTAGACAGAGAACGAGCGCACAAAAACACTTGGTAACACCATCAACCAACAGGATGGAACTGACACTTAGAGAACACCATATCCAACAGGGGATGTGTGCTCTCTTCAAATGCCCACAGAGTTTATATCTAGAAATGCCACAGCCCGGGCCATGCAACAAACCTTAACAGACTTAAAAGAAATAAAATAATACAGAATGTGTTCACTGACCACAAAGTAATAATCAAACTGGAAGTCAATAACAAAAAGATAACAGAAAAATCTCCAAGTGCTTAGAAACTAAATAACATGCTTCTAAATAATCTATGAGTCAAAAAGGAAGTCTCAAGGGAAATTTTTTAAACTGAACAAAAGTGAAAATATATAATATGAAAACCTGTGAGACACAGCTGAAGTAATGCCAAAGGGAGACTTACAGTAGAAAAAAAGAAAAGACTCAGATCAGTAGCCTGAGCTCCCACCAAAGAAACTAAAAAAGACCAAATAAGCCCAAAGCAAACAGAAAGAAGAAAATAATAAAGAGCAGAAATCAAAAGAAATAGAAAACAGAAAACAACAGAGAAAAATCAATGCAACAAGAATCTGGTTCTTTGAAAAGATCAATAACATTAAGGAACTTCTGGCAAGTCTGACAAGGAAAAAAGAGAGAGGACAAGTTATCAGTATCAGAAACAAGACAGGGGCTGTCACTACAGATCACGCAGACAGCAAAAGGATAATGAGGAAATGTTACAAACAACTGTACATACATAAATTAGATAAACCAAATGTACCAGTTTCTCAAAAAGCACAAAGTATTGCAACTCACCCAATATGAAATAGGTAACAGCCCTGTAAGTTTTAGGAATTCTAATACGTCAATCCCACAGACCGTCTCCTCAGGTAAAACTTCCCAACAGAGGGCGTCCAAGTTGTATGATACCCACACTTCAGGAAAACATATATCTCTCTCATTACATGTATAAATCCCAAAACATACATAAATCTCATTGCAATGTTGGATTTTCTGGCTAATGTTTATGTAGGAAAAACATATATATCCTCAAAACTCAATATAATGTCTTTAACAAAATAATGTGGGGGGAAACTGAGGGAAGATTCCAAATTCAGTCAGCAGGTTATCAGAATCATGTGTGCATGTTTTTGAAAAACACAACAAGTTTCAATAAAGGATGTATCCAAGCAAATGCTTATTGACAGCTATTTTAACTAGGGATTAGGGAAAATATGCTAAACATTTTATGTCCTAATATGATAGTTTGTTACTTTTTGCTGTTGAACAGTGCTTTAGTTATATTTTTAGGTTGGGAATTTTTAGTTGACATGTAATACATTATAATTTTTTATCACTTAAAATAATGGGAGATAGGACTTCTAGTCAGAACATTTGATTTTCAGGAATGGACCAGTGAAGTTAAGCAAGAGCTAACTATATGTCATTGATTTCTAAACCTTATGATGCTTGAACGTAATATAAGGAAGATACAGAACACATCACACTTAAAAATCAACCCCAAAATCCTAAGTAAAATCTTAAACAGAATACGACAGCACATTAAAAAATAAATATAGGCCGGGCGCGGTGGCTCACACCTGTAATCCTAGCACTCTGGGAGGCCGAGGCGGGCGGATCACTCGAGGTCAGGAGTTCAAAACTAGCCTGAGAAAGGGCGAGACCCCGTCTCTACTATAAATAGAAAGAAATTAATTGGCCAACTAATATATATGGAAAAAATTAGCCGGGCATGGTGGCACATGCTTGTAGTCCCAGCTACTCGGGAGGCTGAGGCAGGAGGATCGCTTGAGCCCAGGAGTCTGAGGTTGCTGTGAGTGAGGCTGACACCACGGCACTCACTCTAGCCTGGGCAACAAAGCGAGACTCTGTCTCAAAAAAATAAATAGGGCCGGGCATGGTGGCTCACGCCTGTAATCCTAGCTCTCTGGGAGGCTGAGGCGGGCGGACTGCTCGAGGTCAGGAGTTCGAAACCAGCCTCAGCAAGAGCGAGACCCCATCTCTACTATAAATAGAAAGAAATTAATGGCCAACTATATTATAGAAAAAAAATTAGCCGGGCATGGGTGGTGCATGCCTGTAGTCCCAGCTACTCGGGAGGCTGAGGCAGAAGGATTGCTTGAGCCCAGGAGTTTGAGGTTGCTGTGAGCTAGGCTGACACCAGGACACTCACTCTAGCTTAGGCAACAAAGCGAGACTCTGTCTCAAAAAATAAATAAATAAGTAAATAAATAAATAAAATCATTGATTGGGTTTATTCTAAGATTGCAAGATAGTTTCATATTGGGAAATTCATTACTATAAACCTCCATATTTTAGGAGGAAAAAATATATGATGTCTATGGATCCTGAAAGGGCCTTCAAAACAAAACTCAACATCTATTCTGATAAAACACTGAAATAGGAATTAGTGAATGCAATAACATAATTTATACACATACACACCTCTCAGGCCCAAAACCAGGCTCTTACTTGGTGTAGACAGAAACAGTGTGAGTGGTAGTACCCCTAGCTCCACAGTTATCTGACAGTGTATCAGCCAGTGAAATCAGACCAAGGAAAAGATAATGAGAGGTCTAAGACTCAGAAAGGAAGAGTTAGAATTATATTTGCAGAATTTTTGATAATAACTTGGAGAAAACAAATAGAATCAACACTAAAACTAACAAAACTATGGGAAGATTCAGAAAATTAGCACGATACATAATTATCATATAAAAATCAATACCTAGATTTCTGCTTCTAGCAGAAGTAATAACAGAGACCAGATTAACCCCCCCACACACACACACACAACAGTAGTAATCAAAAACACCAGACATTGAGAGAATGAAAAGCCAAGCCACAAACTGGGGAAAAAATCCTTGTAAAACACATACCTGATAAAAGACATGTAAACACAATATACAAAGAACTCTTAAAACTCAACAATTAGAATACAACTCAAATAAAAATTGGGCATAGGAGCTGAACAGGAACCTCACCAAAGAAGACCATACAGGTGGTAAGCATAATAAAAGGTGCACATATGTCATTAGTTAATTTCAAATTAAACAAGATACCACTACAAGCTTAATCAGAACGGCTACATCCAAAACACTGACACCAAATGCTGGCAAGCAGGGACTCTTACTCCTCACTGTCCTTCCACAGGTGAATGAGTAAACTGTAGTACATCCAGATGATGGCACATTCACTCAGTGCCAGAGAAACAGGAGCTATCAAGCCCCAGAAAGACATGGAGGAAACTTAAATGCATATTGTAAGTGGAAGAAGCCAATTTGAACAGGCTGCACACTATTTGATTCCAGTCCTATGACATTCTAGAAAAGGCAGAACTGTGGAGACAGTGAAAGACCAGGGGTTGCAGCAGTGGTGGAGGACAGAGAGTGGGGAGGGGCCACATCTAGATTCCTACAGATAAAAGCCAGGTGGGGACCCTAGGCTGGTCCTCGAGCTAATCCAGAGACAATCAGAGGAGGCAGGGAAGACAAAGACACCCTTGTCCCACAGGAAGTGAACAAGAGAATGGACCGGGAACAGCTCTTTTCCAAGGAAGCAAAGAGAAAGGGGAGGCCGGGCAGCTTGAGCCTGCCGCCTTCCATGGCTATACCTGGGATCACACGCTGGTCCACAGGCCCCAGGCGAGAGAGAACAGACACACGCGCATGTCTCCGTGTGGACGCATCTGCAAACACGTGCATGCACGTGGTGGTACCCGACCAAGTTTACCCGGTCCGCTTGAGACCTAAATCCCTCCCCTGGAATGTCCTGCCTTCCCCAGGAATGTGAGCCCTGTTTCTATGGCCTCTCTCCTCCCCCTCGCAATGTTTTCTCTGCACTCAGATGGGACAGCTCCTCTTGGTTGCTCATGAAATGCCCATGCGCTGTCCCCACTGTGTGAGGGGCTGTATTTGTCATGTACAGGTCTCTCCCCACTAGACCAGCTTGAAGACAGAAAGGACATCTTGTTCACTCATGCCCTCTGTGCCCGCACACAGTCAGGCATGGAGTAGATGCCCGTGCGGGATATAAGGATATCTAAGGGGGAGAAAGAAGGCAGCTCAGGCAAAGGCCTGGGAGAAACTTCAGAGCAAGGGCCGTACAGGCAGGTGAACAGACGGGAAGACGGGTCCTGAGAACTTCCTCCTCCTCCTCCTCACCCCAGTCAAGGCTGTGGCCACAGTCCTTAGCAGCTTTTGTGCAACTATAAAGAACTGTTACCATTTTGTGGTCTATCTTCGGGACAAGACTGGCTCCCTCCTCCCATGTTCCTGGCACTCTAAACCAGTGCCTGGCACTTGGCTGGCAACTTGCAAATATTTTTGGAGGGGAGGAGAACGGAGCTTAACTTCAGCTACTCAGTCACAGCTTCAAGCATGTTGCAGGCCAACCCTGCAAGGCAGGACTGCTACCACCCCTGGTCAGGACTGCACTGGAAATCAAAGGGATACCAAGGGCCAAACGCTGACAGTAAAGGACTTTCTCTCCAGCTGGAGAACAATTCATAGAGGTGCTCTGGGTCCCCAGGTGTCTGCCATGGAGCAGGAGAGGAGGGGGTAGCTGGACCTGCACAAGGTACAGGGAGATACTCACTGGGTACCACCGTGGTCTCCCCAGGGGGGCCTGTCAGTGTCACTGGGATGTGCACAGCAGTGCTTGGGTCAGAGGGTTGACTGCCCATCCGAGTGACGTTCCGCTGATTGTCTGCATCCTCTGGTTGTTCCTCCACCTTCTGCAGACAGGTGCTGGGCAGTGTGTGCACAGGGCCCACACCCATCATCCCACCGGCCTCCAGGTCACAGTGCAGCTCCCTGCAGCCAAGAATGCACATCAGAGTTTGGCACAGCCCCAAACTCCTACTCAGTCTGCAAAACCCAACTCCTTAAACCTCTACCCAAACCAAGTACATTTCTGACTACCTGCTTCTGCTACTCTGCCATTTTGTATGGTTTTTATCACCCTCTGTACACCTCTGTGTCTTTAGGTCTGAAAGGTAGGCATGCAGCTGACATCTGTCTGCCCCTGGCAAAAAGCCAGGCACAGTGGCATCGCAATATATATGTGGAACAGAACTGTTCGCAGAGTGAAGAAACCCAGCTGGGCATGGTGGCTCACACCTGTAATCTTAGCACTCTGGGAGGCCGAGGTAGGAGGATAGCCTCAAGGTAAGGAGTTTGAAACCAGTCAGAGCAAGAGTGAGACCCTAACTCTACTAAAAATAAAAAGAAATTAATTGGCCAACTAAAAATATATAGAAAAAATTAGCCGAGCATGGTGGCGCATGCCTGTAGTCCCAGCTACTCAGGAGGCTGAGGCAGGAGGATCGCTTGAGCCTAGGAGTTTGAGGTTGCTGTGAGCTAGGCTGATATCACCACAGCACTCTAGCCAGGGCAACAGGCTAAGACTCTGTCTCAAAAAAAAAAAAGAGATGTTTCCCTAAGAGCCCCCACCCCGTGCCCCCCCAAAGGCTCAGCAGGGAGCTCTGCATATAAAAACAGCACAGGGGGGCTGAACCTGAGCTGTAGACTCCAGTTTCAACAGATCCTCTGGTTAGTTTGTGGCTAGAGGCAAACTACAGACTGCCTGGGAGCCTCCATCTAGGACGCTCTTACCCCAGGCCTCCACAGTCAGAGTCAAGCCCTGCCCCAGCCCAGAGCAGGCTGGGCAAGCTGGAGCGGTAGGGGCTCTGTGCTGGCCACACAGCCCGGCCCCTCCCATTCTGCACCTCCTCCGGCTCCCTTGGGCTCTCCTGCCTCTCCTTCCACAGCATCCCCCAATTTTCTCTTCTAGCTGGGCCACTCTGTTCTGAAGTCAGTGTGTCCCAAACCCGTCTCAACAATGTCCCCCAGTCCTCCCTTCCTCTCGGGCTCGGGGCCTTCAAATAAAGGTTGACGCTAAGCGCACATTCCCTGCCAAGCAGCCTCTAGCATGCTGCAGGTCAGCACAATTGTCACCACCCCTGACCAGGTCTGCACCCACCAGCCAGGGCCCTGGGGCTCAGCATCACCCCGGCCAACACCTCGCCCCAATTCGCATTCGAGGTCTCTGCAGCCACCAGGCCCATCCCTGAGTGCTTACTCACTTGGGCTGGTGGTTCCGCAGCTCCTTCTCCTTGTCTCCTTCGGGGACCTCGGCCTCCTCCGCAGCCTCCTTCTCTGCAGCCTCGTGCGCAGGCGGCGCCTTGTGGCGGGTCCGGTGCCGCCGCGCTGGCTCCTCTCCGCTCTCTGGCTCCCTGGTCCCAGCCCTGGGGCCGCCGCGGTGCCGCGCCCGCCGCTCGCCCTTGGCCCCGCACGCAGCGCCGTCCCTGCCCTGGTCGGACGCATGGCGGTGTCCGCGGTGGCGCCGGGGCTCCCGCTCGCCCGCCTCCTCGGGGGAGCCGCGCCGGTGGTGGCGCCGGCCGCCCTCGGGGCCCGGGCCTCGCGCGCGCTCGCCCCGCGCCTCCTGCGCGCCCCCGGCCTCCTTGCTGTGGCTGCGGTGCGGCCGCGCCCGCTCCTCCCGGCCGCCGGGCTCCCCGCTCTCGGTCCTAGGGGCATCCGCTCTGTCCTGGTCCCCGGCCGCAGGGGCCGAGGTCTTGTCCTTGTCGCGGTGCCGGTGGTGCCTGCGCGGGGGGTCCGCACCCTCAGTGGCCTCTGCGCCCTCAGGCCTGGCTTTGCCAGGGGGACCCCGCGGGCCGTTGCGGCCCGGCTCCACCACCAGCGGTCGGTCCAGGTGCGTCTTCATGTCGGGCCGCAGGTGGCGCGTGGTGGCGTAGCGCAGCCGCTCCTCGGGGTCCATCTCGCTGTACAGCGCCTCGCAGCTGGCCCGCAGGTTCTGCAGCCGCAGCTGGCTGGCCCGCTGCTCCCACACCGAGCGCGCCTTGGCCGAGTTCTGCTGCCTGCTGCGGGGAGACCGGCGGTGAGCTCGGCCCTGCCCGCGCCCAGCCCACCTCTGTCCGGGGAAGCCGCGGATGGACACAGCAATGGAGGGATGGCGGCGTGGGCGCAGGGAGAAGGGAGGGAGAGGGGCCTGCAGGAGCCCTCCAGACCCCTCAGGACAGTAGATGCAGGAAAAGATCAGTGGGGGGGCACTTGGGAACAAATTTCCGTGCCTCGCCCCCTATGGCGCCCCTCAGGCCTGCTGACTGGCTGCACCAGCCTGTCAGGAGGATGCTGGGGACGGGCACAAGGCCACTCCTGAGCACTGGGCAGGGGCCAGAGGCCAAGGAGTGCAGGGCGTCGAAATGCCAGGCGCCAACAAGAGCTGACAGAAAGGCTTTACGGGCCAGTAGATGGCTGGCCAGCAAGGCACGGCCACACTGGGGAGAGAAGGGCCTCAGACAAATGGGCAGGGCGATGGAGAGGCAGCGCCCCCGCACCAGCCTCCCTTGGGAGGTGGCCAGGGCTCCAGCATGAGCAGAGCTGCCACTCGAGGGGCCAGACACGTGGCCACCTGTCCTCAGGAGGAGAGCCACCAGCCAGAAGGAGAAGGGCTGTCTGCAGGGAGCTCAGAGGCAGGCACTGACTGGCGCAGAGCCAACAGGAGCAGAGGGAGCATCCAGGCCTCTCAGGAAGGGACCCTGGCAGCTGCCACTTGGCTTAGCAAACAGGAGCCCAGAAGTCAGATCAGGAGCTGAAGACACCCCCTCCTGTGGTCACCAGTGCTCTTCCCTCTCTTGGCCCCACCAGGGGCAGAGCCAGAACCAGGCCCTTAGAGCCTTCCAGAACAAGGGGCTGTTGTTGGTCTAGACTCAACCCTCACTGCACAGGCTGCCAGAGGCCTGGATCCACCCCCAGCCTCATGGGCCCAGGCACCTCCCTATTCACACGTCACACGTGGGGCTCCACAGCCCAGGTGCATGGGAAACCCTTGGCATTCTGGGCTCTTTGCTGAATAAGACCATAAGGTTGGCGACTCCAGCCCCACCTCTGCCAAGCAGAAACCTCATCTGGGGCCAGAGTCTCATCCTTCAGCCCCTGCAGGCTTCTGGATGGCGATGGCCATGGCTGTGGCCCCGCTAATGATGGTGGCTGCAGCCACACGGTGCTCTGGGCTCAGTTCCCACTTCAGCGCTTACAACCCCCTCAAGAATCAGGTGCTACTCTTGTCCCCGTTTCACAGGTGAAGATGCTAAGTCTGGAGAGAGAATGTGACTTGCTCAGGGTCCCACAGTGAGTCGCTGGTGGGGCCAGGATCAGAAGCAAGAAAGGGCAAAAGGGGAGAAAGTACTGAAAAAAGACATGAGTCCTTGGCCAGACACCACCTGCACCCACGGCACAGGGTACACCTGCAGCCTGTGGAGCTCTGGGGTCCTGGTGACCTGCAGACAGAGATGGCCAGGTGTGGGGAAAGCCCAGTCCCGGCAGTTGGCCCACCCTAGGTAGATGACAAGAAATCCTGTCCCCTTGCACAAGTCCAGGCTGCAGTGTGGTGTGCAAGGGGCAGCACCTCACAAGCATGAAAGTGGAAGAGCTCAGGCAGGGGCTGAGCAGGACCACCTGCAGGGGCTGTCTGCTGACCCACAGCCTCAGCTGCTACCCTGGGCCCTGACCTGCAGCCCCCAGTGCGTCGAAGCTGTGCCACCCACTCCCAAGGATGCTCTGCAACAGGCCACAGAGGACCTGCCCATCCCCAGCTGGGACCAGAGCAAAGAGCCTGAATCTCAACAATGCTGAGCGTGTACAATGGAAGAAAGCCGTGAGGTGTGGTCACCAGGCACAGGAGCCCTGTGAGGGCTGATGGCCGGTCACTGCCTCAGGCCTCTCAGTTAGTCCAGCAGCCCCACATGGGCCTGGACTCTGAGCCATCTGGTCAGCAGAGAGTCGGCCTGCTCAGATGAAGCCAGTCTTGGCCACTGGCATCACAGATCTGTCAGAAAGGCCGTGAAGTCAGAAGGACACGCAGCAGCTGGTAGTTCAAGGTCTGTGTGTGCAGGTGGGATGGGCTCCAGAGCTCATAGATCTGCCCTCCACCTTGTCTCAGGTGTGGCTTTTTCTCTCCCAGGAACAACCTAAAGTCCAGAGAGGCCGCGCTGTCTGCTGGACTTAAGGGAGCTATTGGGCTGGCAGGTTCCACTTGTGACTGCCAAGGTGGAATAAGACACTGAGCAGTCGTGCAAGGGGCCACTGCCCACCCCACTTTGGCCCCACTGTGGCTCTGCCCAGCCTGCGCCTTCTGGGTCTGCCTGCCACGCTGGCCCTGCTGTTACTAGAGACTGTCTGCACCTGCCTGCAGCTCAGCCCAGACCACTGGGTTCCTCTCTGGACGTATCCCCCAAGTATCTGTATCTGTGCACTTGGCACCTCCTTCTTGTTGGTATCTGAGCTAGCCCTGGTCAACGTTTCTGTCCTTGCTCTGTCTGGCATGTGAGTGAGCCCCATTGGCCTAGAGAGCAGTGTGGCTGGTGACTCTAATTCAGGCAGAGTCATTTGAAAGGCTCTTTCAGAAATCACAGAGAGAGAGGACTGGCTCCCACAATGGCCCAACCCAGCTGCTCCGGGAGGACAGCTCAGCCACACTCGCCCTAGATGCTGTGGATGACTTCAGGACTCAGATAGGAGCTTGAGGGTTAGGGTTAGGGTTAGGCTTGAGGGTCTCTGCTTTGAGGTCTCTGGGCTGACACAGCCCAGAACTCCTGACAACGTGAAGCAGCACTGCCATGACACCCTCAGTACCAACATCTGTGTCTTACTCTACCATGTGGATTAGTTATTTAGTTTCCACCATGCTTTCTTGCCCCATAAGACATCAGGGCTCTTTCCCGTGAGGCATCAGTGCTCATAGGAAGACTGAGCCCAGCGCTGTGCTGGCTGCCCATGAGGAAGCTCAGGGCAGGGTCAGCAGGAGCCTCACCACCATCAGGGCATGGAGAAGGCATCTGGCCACTTCAGGACCTCTTACCTGCAGGGCCTGGCCTCACCCTCGAGAGGAATCCCCAGCCACCCATGAGCACTTCCCAGAAGGAACTGCCCAAGGAGAGGTAGCCTGTCGGACTGGTGTTCCCCCAGGAGGGCCACCTTGGAGTTTCCAGGGCTCTACCTTGGGCTCTGGCTAACCTACCATAAGCTTCACTATCGGAAAGCAGCTCTGCTCTTGCTAGAACAAGGACTTCCTGAGGATCACAGACATTCCCCCCAAGGAAGGAGGGGCTGGGGGACCCATGAATGTCCCCAGAGAGCCCCTAAAGAACACTCTCTGCTACCCCTGCCCACAGGGCCCTGGCCTCACGGGAACCACAAGGACACCTGAGCCCATGGCACATATGCTTGAGATGCCAGAGTGACCGCACACAGACACTCAGCAGATGAAAAGACAGAATCCAGGAGGGAAGAAAAGAGGGGCTGAGCTCCAAAAGGCCTGACCCTATGAGCAGGACTTGGGGGTGTGAGGGAGCAAGCTCACCAGTCTCCACCCAGGCCACAGACGGCTTGCCTGGAGCTGCCCCATGAAGCAATGACTTGAGGTGGGAAAGCAGAGTTAGGAGTGGAGGGAAGGTGTTTGCATGTGGTTATCATGAAGCCATGGATGGAATATCGTAACAGAGCGACTCACGGTGAGTTTACGCTGGAGACAGATGAGCTGCGAGATACAGTACCTCGAGTTTGCTTTACAAAACTGCACATGCAAAAAACAGAACAAAACACAAGTGAGAAACCCCGAGAGAAAGTCCCGAGAGACACTAGCAACACCCGTGAGCCGCCTCCACGCACACGCAGGCTGCCATGTGCACCTGGGCAGGAGGAGGCAGAGACACGTCCATTGGAAGGGCACCGGCCGAGACCTCAGGGCAAAAGAGAAGTTGAGAACCAATCCCAAGTGTGCAAAAAAGTAAGGCGAAAGTGAACACAGCAAACCCCACAATAGCTGGAAGACAAGAAGCAGTTATCTCAGGGGCCCCTCCCCCATTCTCCGCGCACACCCCTGGAAGGCAGCAGGTTTGAAGGAGCAGCACTGCTTCTCCTGCAGGTCCAGGCAGCCCTCCATGCACCACTGTGGGGCAGGCTGGCCGCGCAATCCGCTGGCCTTCCGGACAAGCAGAGCAGCCTGCCGCCAGAGACCAGGGCGTCCATCCCTGCAGGGCTGCCGGACAGTCCTGCCGTCCCAGGGCGCTCCTAGTCCCTGCTCAGTTCTGCCTGCCCTGCCTCGCAGCGCTCAGGTTAAATCCAGGTGCTTCCAGTTTATGAAGGCCCCCCAGCTGCAAACTAGGTCACAGCACCAGCCACCTTCCCTTCGAGGTCACTCCAGCCATTTTCAAGTGACTCTCTGAGAAGCTCTCCCAAAACTGACGGAAGGAAACCCAGATCTCTTTACAGAAGCTACCCTTCACACTGACTTCTGCCCGGGAAGGGCCAGGCAAGGTTGCGGCTGCTCCTTCTCAAGGCCAGACTCTCTGCACATCTGTGAGAAGCTTAAGCAGCTCCCCTGCCCACAGGCTCCGGGTGTAAACAGGCACGCATGTGTGAGTGTGAGTGTGTGTGAGCAACTGTGAGTGGATGTGTGAGACCGTGTGAGATTGTGAGAGTATGAGTGAGATTGTGAGAGTATGACGATGTGAACGTGAGTATTGTGTGTATATTGTGAGTTTGTGTGTGAATGTGTGACATCCTGAGTATGTGAGTGTGTGTGAGAGGTGTGAGTCAGTGTGAGAATATGAGTGTGTGTGTGAAAATGTGTGAATCTGTGTGTGAGGACTATGAGTTGGTATGAGGGTGTGAGTCTGTGTGTGAGGGTGTGAGGATGTGTGCCTGTGAGGATATAAGTGTGTGAGAGTGAGTCTGTGTGTGTGTGAGAGTGTGAGTCTGTGTGTGAGTGT